TGGGGTACCTGAGAAATGGGGAGGGCACTGGGGAAGATATGGCTGCCTCTCTCCTGACCTCAGTGCAGAGGGAACAGAAAGAGCCTTCAGAAGAAGGAGGAGGGGTTTCCAGAGGCAGAACGACCCCCTCGTCACTGTAGGTCCCCAGCCTGCTGCAGGTCAGAACTGAATATGAGATAGGAGCTTGCAAACTGGACAGATCATTGAACAATGCAAGTTATACAAACACCATGGGTTCTGCCCAAGATGCTATCAAGGAACAGGAAAGAAGGGTTCTACAGAAACAATCAAAGGTGGTGATTCAAACCCTCTAAAAGGCATGAAGACATGTCATGTCACTAGCCCTGAGTGTTAAGGCTGTTGTTCAATCAGATGAATTCATTTGTACATTTTAGAAGGACTTTCCTGTGATTGTTTCCCATTGATATAAGGCAATGACTCAAAAAAAGATTTTATTTATTTACTTATCTATTTATTTATCTATTTATTTTTTGAGAGAGTGGAAGGGAAGGAAAAAGGGAGGGAGAGAAACATCAATGTGTGGTTGCCTCTTGCACCCCGCCCCCCAGCTGGGGACCTGGCCCACAACCCAGGCATGTGCCCTGACTAGGAATTGAACCAGCAACCTTTTGGTTTGCAGGCTGGCACTCAGTCCACTGAGCCACACCAGCCAGGGCTGACTCACCTTTTTTAATGACAAAAGCAACACATGCCCCCTGTAAAAGTTGATGTGCACGGTAAAAATCCACAGTGCCGTAGCACCCCGTGGTATGAACAGACATGTTTTATCTAACTGTTCTCCTTACAGCAAGCAGGTGACTTCCAGCTTCTGCTTTCACACTGATTCAGTGAACATCCTCTGTATCTTTAGGGGCTCATGTGAACACTCCATGGGACAGATTCCTGGGTATGGAACTGTTGGATCACAGGGCGGTCACATTTACAAAGTGGTTGACATTACCCAAACTGACCTCAAAATGGCTGCACCAATTTATAAGCCCACCAACAAGGTGTGGGAGTACCTGCTCCCTGGGGACTTTTGTCTCCTGAGTAAGATTCCTGTGGGGCCAATGATAACTTGCTTCACCCTGGCTGTCGAGGTCTAGGTCCTCTTTCCACCCTGCCAGCCTTTGCACCTCAGCGGTCCCCAAACCACTTCAAGAAGAAGCTGCACAACCAGACTCATTACAGGTGCGTTTGTACACCGGATTGTGCTCCACACCCACCTGCTGAGTTCCTCATCACAGTTCTGTGGGATAACTGCACAGAAAGTGTGAACAGTAGGAAAATCTAAATACAACACATCCTATTTTTATAAACTTGTTGCAGGGTCATAGGGCAGAGTTGGAAAGAGATAAGTGTCTACTCTGAATGGTCCAGCCATTCCTGGGTGGCCTCCAGCACAGCCTTTATGGGTCCCAAAACAAGTAGTTAAGATTTCCTCTGAGCTCAAGGCTGGGGACTTCCTGTTATTTAAAATGCACTGATGGAACAACTGGTTATTTAAAAATAATTTAACATTGCCTTTTGGATTAGCTATATTTTTGCTTTTTCTATTTAATACATAAAAATGATCTTAAAGGAATAGGTGATGATTGCATACAGTCCAGGAACATACTTTTAATGTCATAAAAACATTTGTGAGTAGGACCCTAAAATATTTGCATATTAATACAAATGACTATAGAGAATAAAACTTCCCTTTTCTGAATATTACACATGGTATATTAATAAGGCTAAAAGGTGGCTGAGCATATTTTTATAAGCTCCAGAATGTACTATTTGATTCATTAGAGAAACAAATCACACTGACAGCCAAATGCCCTGTGTGGAATGGCATGAGACCAGCGGTGTGCAGGAGCTGTGTCTTGGAATGGTCCATCATGCATGCCTCTTCCCAGCTCCATCAGTGACGTCACCCCTGAAGCTTAAATCAGATACTCTGGGAGTATTTACAACATGGAAATCAACAAATGCTGCAGTTTTTCCCAGAAAGCGAGTTATTAAACATTTACCAGACATGACTGCATTCCTTTATCATTCTCTCTGTATATCACAATATTTTTCAATGAACCATTTGAGAATAAGGTACAAACATTGTATCCCATTACCTCTTAAGTGACTACTTTCTTAAATTAAGGACATTCTTTTATATCAAAATCAGAAAATTAACATGTATTCAATATTATGATCTGATTTGGTGCCATTTTCAAAGGTCTCTTTTTTTCTCCGAGTAATGTCTTTCTAGACCCCAGGATCCCATCTCAAGTCACCTACAGTACTTAGTTGTCATGTCACTTTAGTCTCCTTCAATCTGAAACAATCCTTTAGTCTTATCTTTCCTGACCTTGACATTTTTAGAGTATCAGCCAGTTTCACTGGTGTTTCCTCACAATTTGCAAATTTCTTAACACTGCACTGTATCAGGAGGCATGTGGTATAAATTTGTCCCATCTGGTGTTGTTAATTTTTGTCACCTGGTTAATGTATGAGAACAAGCCCGGGGATCTTGACTGCTCATTCGCATAAGCTGAAAAAACCACACGGAGCACTGGGTGGAGCAGACGTAGCCCCACAGTACAGGAGCACCGGCAGCAGATCAGTGAAGCAGGACCATGCCTCCCTGAGTCCAAGACTTGTTTGAAGGGGTCCCAGACAAAGGGGGCACCTGTCCTACCTCACTGTGTGTGCAGAAAGAGAAAAGGTCAAGAGGTAGGCACAGACAGGAAGCCCCTCCCAAAAGGGGATCAGGAGGGAACTACAATCCATTTCTGAGACAATACAGATTCCTTCTGGCCTGGGCTTTCCGGCCAGCCTTCCGTTATGGGGGCTGGAGGAGCCACGTCCACATGACCCTACATTTGAGATGGCATCTGTAAGCCTCCTCCACTATCAAGCTGACTAACAAGTGTTCTGTACTTCTAAATTAACACAGGGGTGGGCAAAGTAGCTTTACAGTCATGAGTACAGGAAACAGTTTATTTTTGTTATTATTTATTATATTTTTCATATGAACAACTGTAAACCTTACTTTTGCCCCCTGCCATAAGTAGTTTGTATTTTGTGGGGGAGATACTTTGAGATTTCAATAGTAGGGTATAGCTTTCTCTTCTCTCCCATTTATTTATTCATGCATTTATTTACATAATCAGTGTAGATACTCATACTCTTGGATTCTTATTTTACTCAAACCTTAACTACCATTACTTACTTGATGTTCAAATTTGGCCAACAGGAGTCCTTTAAAGCTGACTTTTTTGTCCAGTTGGCATCTCCCTGTCATGCTTTCAGCACTACCTTTTGGTACAAGGTGTTTTAGATCTGTTCCAGTATGTGGTTTTTCTTTTTTCTCAACACCACCAAACTATTAATTCTAACACTGTGTACCTAGAGAGAGAGTCAGATCCCACAGGTGAAGAGCTCAGTCCTATAAGACTACCCTCCTACCTCACACACCAATTGTGAGTCCAGGTTGTTACCTGCATTTCCAACCAACTGGCTGTTTATAGAAGTTCCCACAACACCCTACTTGGGTTTGATTAATTTATTAGAGTGGGTCACAGAACCCTGGAAGGACAATTTGCTAATGAGATTCCCAGTTTATTATAAAAGGATATAACTCAGGAATAGCCAGATAGAAAAGATGCATAGGGCAAGGTGTTGTGAAGGGGCACAGAGCTTACTCGCTCTGAGTGCCACTGTCCCTGAATCTCCAAGGGTTCAGCCACCTGGAAGCTCTGGAATCCAGTCCTTTTTGGATTTTTATGGAGGTTTTACTGTATTTGCATCACATTAAATCATTGGCCACTGTCAATCTCTAGCCCCTCCCTGAAGCTAGAGTGGGGGTGGTGCTAAATTACAATTCTAATGACTAGTTGGTTCCTCAGGCAGCCAGACCAGATCCTGGAGTGTATTTCAAAGGGGCTTATTAAGAGTATCAAGACACCCATATTACTCTTATCACTTAGGAAATTTCAAGGGTTTTCAGATTTCTGTGCCAGAATCTAGGTCAAAGGCTATATATGTATGTGTGTGTGTGTGCCTGTGCGCACGCACACACACAAGGTCTATCCAGAAAAAGTCCCGCCATTGTTAATATAATGAGAACAGTTTGGGTGACATTGATGTAACCTGGCAGCCAAGAAGAGTGGAGTGGAATGCACATGTGTAAACAATGACAACTTCACTGTACTAGTTGGTGGGGGTGGTAGATGCTCTTGAGTGAGCATGTGTGCTGTGTGGCCATTGCATTCAAAATGACTGAGTAAGTAGAGCAATGAATCTGCTTCAAATTTTGCATTAAGCTTGAACATTCCTCCAATGAAACTACTATTCAGATGATTCAGAAGGCTGCAGCTCTGGGCAACTGGTGATTGACAGCTTCATCACAACAATGTGTTTGCTCCTGCATCATATCTTCTACAGAGTGTTTTGGCAAAGCATCAAATCACCCAATGACTCACCCCTCCTACAGCCCAGATTTGGCACCCTATGACTTCTGGCTGTTCCCCAAACTAAAATCACCTTTGAAAGGGAAGAGTTCAGACTATTGATGAGATTCAGGCAATATGATGAGGCAGCTGATGGTGGGTGGGAGAACTGTGTGAGGTCCCAAGGTACCTACTTTAAAGGGGACTGAGGCATCACTGTCCTGTGTACATTTTTTCTTGTATCTTATATCTCCTTCAATAAATGTCTCTATTTTTCCTGGTGCATGGCTGGATACCTTCTGGATGGATTCATATACAGTAATATGCAGAAGTAATGCCTGCTTGAGTGTGGTTGGTAGGGTACTAATATGGGTGTAATAATTTATACTTTTAATTTGAACATTTCACCTAAAATGTCATGTGGTGTGCTTGAGTGTGATATTATGTTACAGAATTACATGCTTATGATTTTGTAAAAGATTATGTAATAAAAAGGGATGTTATTTGTGCTGCACCATATGTATGTACATATATATGGTATTCATAATATCACATATGTCTTCAGTTATCCCACCCCAGATCCAGAGTCTATCATTTCTCCAAGGAGCCTTGGTTTCTTTTAGTGGAAAATATCACAAAAAACAGGTTCTGAAAGCTAGATGTGCTGGGGTGTTATTGTTGCTAAGCCCTCAAAGCAGAGCCAGGAGCAGTGTGTGAGCTCACACACATCCATGCACCCACTGACCACATGCATGTGTTCCGTCTAGCTCTACGGAGTCAAAACCATGAGTTCAGAGTCATTCTTTCACTCTCTTCTTTCCCCTTCTTGTATTTTTCCTGTATTTTTTGCATTTTCTTTCTCTGAGAAACTTTTCAGCACACTCTGTGAAATTTATTTGCTCTCTCCCTCGTTGATCAAGTCCTGTCATTATTCTCTTTAATTATCCCACAACCGGTCAGTGGAGCCTCTTCAACCTTGCTTCTATGGGTTCTTGCTGTGTTCCCATCAGTTTTTGAGCAGGTTTGGACTTTCTCACTCCCAGCCCTGGAATCAGCTGTTCCCCAAGTTCATGGTAGTGGGAATTGACATTGAAACCTGGGATAGGAGCCCAAGGTGAATTCATTTCCTCATGAACTGGAAAATATATACAAAACCATACAAATATGCAAATTAACCGATACCTTTAATCCAATCATGTCTCCCTCTTGTTTCCCCTCCCAGTGTCCTGTCCTCTTCCACAGTGAGCACCCTGGGTCCCGGCAACATCAGTATCTTCTTATTCATTTGTTCAGTCCTATCATACACACAGACGAGCTTTGGAATTGCCTCTTTTTCTTAAAAGAAAATTACAAAGACACGCATTCACATCTACACAGGCTAAATCTTCTCTGTCCCCTTCTGCTGTGCAGAATCCGTCGCCTTTGCTGGCATTTTGGCGATGCCTCCTCCACCCCAGAGGAAGCAGCCCAGAACCCAGCCCTGCGGCCACGAGAGCACCTCACCACAGGTCCAGGGCGAGGTCCGAGTTCTCGTAGGGCTGTGCCCAGGTGTCACCGTCATCCTCTTCCGGGAGGCGTGTCCCTTGAACCGGCAACGGGCAGATAGTGAGAGGATCGGCGTGTTTGCTGCCGTCTGGGGCTCTGGGTCTGAAGTACGCACAGAGAGGCCCCGAGAAGGTGTCGGTGAACGTGAAGATGTGGGAGCCATCTGTCACGTTGAAGAAGGCCAGCTTTCCGGCCTCGCAGTCCAGGAAGATGCCCACACGCCGGGGTGGCACGCGCAGGGAGAGCGCCACGCGCTGCGGCTCTAGGATGAAGTACTCGCTGCCGTTCCACAGCCCCATCACCCAGTAGCCAGTGGCTGGGCTCAGGAGCCCGGGGCCCGCGCGCGCCACCGCCTCCAGGCAGGCGCCCAGGAACCAGCGGCTGCGCCGACCCACGTCCACCTCCCAGTAGTGGCGGCCGGTCTGGAAGCGCTCCCGGCTCAGCACGCACGTCTGCTCCGTGAACCGCTGCGGGCCTCCCGGCTCTGCCGGAACTGGCAGCGCCCCGCGGGAGAGCACGCTCTTGCCATCCTGGGAGACCTCCAGGCTGGGGTGCGCTGAGGCTGGGTCCAGGGTCACGTCCACTGCGCAGAGGCACTGAGTTAGTGACCACGAGGACGGTTCTGGGCCCTCCCTGTCTACTCCCTGGGACAGGCCAACTTCTATTTCTGTCAGTGGAGCAATTGGTGGAATATTCACACCCGCCCTTAACCTGAAACACCTGGGACTGAAGTGGCCTGAAAGTCACTATACCGGGTGCCATGGAGAGGAGAGATAGCAAACAAGGAAGGCACGTGGGGATGGAGGAAGGCTCATTGCCCTCAAGTCCTGGTCAAGGGGAAGGAGCCCAGCGCGGGTGCTAGCCCAGATGGCCTCACCACCAGGGCTTTGTGAAGAGCATCAGGTGAGCTCTGGGCCTCAGTTTTACAGCACTTCTAGGATTTTAAAACTGAATGGGGCCTCTGAGATCATCTAGTCCAGTGCTCTGTACTCCATCCCCACAACTGCCAAAACACACTCCTTTGATGGATGCGACCCCAAAAGATCCCTTCCACCAGACCACCTGAAAGGTTCCTTACAAACTCTGGCATCTGCTCCTGCAAACAGCCTTCCTGCCAGATGGAAAAACCCAGTAAAGCCCAGAAAGCTATATGCTTATGGGGGTATGTGTGTGCACACCGATGTATCTATACGTGAGCCAGTCACATGTATGCACACAGGCATGTATGTGTGCATATATGCTCATGCAGGTGTGGGGCATGTCCTCTGTGTGCAAGTGGACCTGTGTGTTTGTGTGTGTAGGCTTGTACTTGGCTTTGGACAGACCCTTCCTCCAATCTCAGATCTCTCCACCTCCCTCGGTTTAAGACCCAGCTGATCCGACTCATGTCAGTTCTTTGGCTTCAGTTACCTGCATATTGTTGGGCTGCTCTCCACTCTGAAACCAAACAGAGAAAAAGAAGCTCAGAGAGCTGAGTCAGTAACCATGGAAACTTGAGGGAGACTCGAGATGCATGATAAACAGAGAAGCACTCAATGACCCCAGCTCCACCGTGAAAGCTGGTTTAGGTCCAGATTGGCATGGGTCCACCATAGCATTTTCCCGGGCATTCAGGATTGAGTAAGGGGCTGCTGTCAGTGCTGGGTTATACCAAAGCTGCACGCAGGCTGAAGCTGCGCTGGGAGCGGCAGGAGAGCAGAGCGTGGGGGCAAAGAGAACAAATACACGCAGCCCTGATAGATGGAGAGAAAGCCTCGGTGTATGGCTGGCAAGCTCGGTCCTCAGGAGGCTCAGCTGAGGCTGGCTCCTGTCCTAACATGGCCTCCAGATGCCCTGTCTTGCCTCCTTTCTTCACATGAGCCATTCAGAGTGGATTTCTGCTTCATTTCATATTGTTCTGTTTTATAACAGAGACATCTCCAACTCACAAAAGAGCAAAAGCAACAGACGATGGTTCAGAGCTCCACAAATTCACAGCAGGGATTTTCAACCCTGGTTTCCATAAGAATAACCAGTAGAACTTCATAAACATATAGCTCTTGCATAGAAAACCTCAATTCTATAAAGATGTTGATTCTCTCTAAATTTAGCTATAAATTCAAAACACTCCTGTGCAAAACTGCTTTTGGATTATCTAAAGGAACTTCATAAAACTACCCTAAAATTTATGTTTTAAAAAGTTTCACTAACATTGAAAAGGAAGTGGAAATGGCATACTTTAAGTACTCTAAAAGCAATGGTAGTAGAAACAGTGAGGTAACAGGTGGCTGACAGACCCACCTGAACATGGGCACCAAATACACATTAAAGGTGACAGCCACATCAATGGGGAAATCACGGATGGTGTAGCAGATGGCATTGGGAAAACCAACTCTCTACGTGGAGCAAAATCACTGGATTATCACTCAACACCACATGTAATGGCAAAATTCAGATGGATTAAAGACCCTACACATATGAAGTGAATAGGAGAAAATGTAAGGGAATCTTTATGACTTAAATGTGAGGAAGGTCTGCTTCAACAAAACTGCAAAGGAATAAGCCAGAGGTAAAAAATGTGATGAATTAGATTTTCTCAAAAGTAAAGACTTCAATAAGAGGCACCATGGACCAAGCTAATGGCAGATGACAGAATAGAAAAAGGAATTCATATCATTTAATACCAATGAGTAAGATCATATACATATGTAAGTCCTGTGAATCAATAAGAAAAGGATGGTAACCCTATGTGCAAACTGGGCAAAGGGACATGAGCAGGCAATGTTCAGAAGAGGAATTTCCAACGGCCAACTAGCATAAAAGAGATATCCAAACTCCTTAGTGTTCAGGGGTGTGCAGACTAAAAGAACAGTGAGAATCACTCCTCCCCACCCACTGGCCAACTCAGAAAGTGAGCTCACATGGAATGTGGGTGCTGGGGGCCTCTGTACACTGCCAATGGCAGGATAATAGCACTGCTTCTGGGGTCGCTCTGTCCCACTTGGTGACATACCTCCATGGGCTAGCACTCTCCTCCCAGAGGTACATCCCAGAGAAATCTCCACATGGCCCAAAGGCTACATGCTTGGGTTGTTTGTGGGGTGTGGAGTTAGAGGTGGGCTGGCTGCCCACTCCAGGAGGGGGGCTGGCTGAATGGAGGGCCCGGCAACAAGAAGGAGAAATGGGCCAGATGTGCACGCGGCAGCAGGATGGATATTGAAACACAGTAATGAGTGAGAAAAGCCAGGAACACCCCCAGATATTTAAATTACTTGTAAAAATAATTTACATAAACTAAAATGCATGTGCACAAAACAGAACATCACATTTTGCAAGAATACATATAAGGACAGATGTTAGACTGCTTGCTTGCTTTACGGGGGAATAGAGGGAGATACAGGGAGAAATATTTACGTGTAGGGTAACAGGCCCACCCCAGTCTTGGAGGGTGGGCACCAGGAGCCCAGGGGATTCTTATGTGCCACCAGGACTGGCACCAGTGGTTTACAGTATGCTTACACCTCAGGGCAATAGAAAACATTATAAGAGCAAAACTCAGATATACCCTTTACCAGTGACATAGATCAATTCACGCTGAGTGAGGCTGTGGCAGAAACCAGGATGGAATGTGGTTGGTTAATCAGAGACTGTGACTGGTTTGCTGAGAGGTAAAGCGGACAATGGGAGGGAAGAGGGCCCCACTCACCGGCCTGGCCTTCAGCCCTTCTCCAGTCTGAAACAGTTAAGGGAAAACAAAATTAGAACACTGGGTTTCTGCAGCTTTCCTGCTCTCTTACCCAATTTGCACCCACCTCTGCGCCCCTCCCCTTTCTCCTGCCACCCCCAGAGCCAGCAGGGTTCCAGCTTGGCCATCATACCTGGTTGGGAGATGAGAAGAACTTAATGGATAACCAGTTGCTAAACTGGTGGGCAAGAAGAGATAGTCCTAAGAGGGGTCACTTACCAAGCTCCGCCTGCAGTTTCCCTATAAGCAGAACGTACAGAGATAACATCAGCCTTGGGCTGTCTGGAGCCACCTCCCCAAGGCAGGCAGGCCCTTGGGAAGATGCTCCCTAGTCTTAAACCACTACTCAGCCCACTCCCACCTGAGGCTCTACATAGTCATTGGCGAAATTCTAGAGCCTCATCCTATTTGCTCCAGGGCAGAAATCGGTGTGGGGCCGGGGTGGAGGTGAGAAGAGCAGGGCTTGGCACTGAGGAGCCCCTCCCCAAAGCTCGGGTCTGGTTTGAAGGGACTGCTACTCATCTGCCCTGAAATCACTAGCTTTCCTGTGTATGTCCAGGCACTAAGCACAGCCTGCCTGAGCCTCAGGGTCACCTAGAGTGAGTGCACTGTTTAAAGGACTGGAAAGACATCACACTTAATCACTTCCCGTGGCCGGACACCGACACTGATAATTTGCCACTAGAAATGCATCCCTATGTCTTTAAAAAGGGTAAATGCTGCTGGGAAAGGCAGCTCTATGCACTAACTTAGACTATACCGTGTTTACGCTACACTCACTTTCGTGCAAGTTCAAGGTGCCACCCTTCACAGTGGCATTTGCGTTAAAAAGAGAAGGACATCCTAGGAAGACAAGCCAGTCAGTGGGAGTCAACGTTTAATGGGGACATTGTGAGTGAATGGTATCATTGGCAGGGAAGGGGCTGCAGGGTCTGTCGGGAGGGTCTGAGGCCAGGCCTCTCTGGCAGCTTCGCTAGAGTCCGTTTGGTAGTGAGGAGGTGGGAGGCTCAACGTGGTGGATTAAAAATTAGATCCTGCCACACATCGCTTTCCAAAAGGCTCTGAAAGTCACTGAACCCCTCCTTCCGCAGCGCGCCCCGCGTTCCACTGTAGCCCTCAGCCAGCGCTGTGGGCGCGGCACCCAGAACATACCCAGTTGTGCAGTGAGTTTCCCTGGAGAAAAAAAAAAACGGAGAAAAGAGGAAAATGTCGATCAAAGAACACTGACGCCTCGCTTCCCCAAAGCGCGCAGATTCGGTCCCCGTGCGTTCTGGGACTTGGCTGGGCGGGACCCGCAGGAGGAACACCTCTGAGGCCAGGGAGGCAGGAGCGCAAACCTCGCCACTCATCTGTCTGCCCAGCTCCCCGGTGCTGGGGTCTGCCTCCTTCCCTCTTTGCCCCAGGCCCCCTTCTGCTGGGCAAAGGTGGAGGAGGAGGGCGCGCCACTCTCCCCGCTCACCTTGGTCCTTGTCTGCCCGCTCCTTCAGCTTTACTGAAAGGGAAAAGGCAGGGGGCAGACTGGGTGCACACCACCCCCACCTCGAGGGTCCCACCTTCCCGCCAGCGCCTTCTCCCCGCGCCAGCCAGCACCCAACCCCCGACCCGCAGGCCAGTACCTTGGGACCGCCGCCTGTGAAAGCAGCACAGCGCCAGCGTCGTGAGCAGGGCTAGCAGCAGCGTCAGGCCGCCCACCAGAGTCCCGAGGAAAGCTGTCTTCCACGGGGAGAGTCCGGGTAGAAAAGCGTCTGGAAAACACCCAGAGGGAGTTGTCTGGATTTAGGCGCCTAGCACACTCAGTGCAGAAGCTCCCGGACCTCGGGTGCTGGAAAACCCTGGGAACCACGGGCTGGTGACTTAAGCGCTTTGGGCCCTGCAGAGCCATCTGTCAAATGTGTGACTGCAGCTGCGCGGAGCTCGGGTGTGGTAGGATCCCGGGAAGGCCGAGGACGTGCACTAGCTCCGAGCCAAGGGAAAGTGCTGCAAACTGAGGGATGAAAAGAAGGGGCGCTTCCAACTGCTGTGACTGTGGCCCTGATTTGCCTCTGCTTCTTCCCACTCTTGCCTTGCATCTGGATCCAAGGGGTTTTGTGGATATCGGAAACCCGGTGAGTTCACAGACATCTCCCGCTCCTTGCAGACACCTGGCTTCTGCTTCTCACTCCTTTGGAAGAATTGATAGCAAAGCCGCGTGGGGGCGGACTGACAGCGCCTTCCTTCCTCCCCAGGTTCCCCAGGGAGGCCTCTGTGGGCTGTCAACAGGCGCACATTGAGAACAACCCCTTAGAAACGCGTATGGCAATCTAATAGAGCAATTTCACGTCTGTTGAAGGAAAGTATAAAAAAATTGATGTTTTTATCTCAGTGGTCTTTTAAAATATTTTTTTCTTTTTATTGTTGTTAAATATACATAGTGTAAGATGCACCCTCTTAACCATTTTTAAGTGTCCGGTTCAGTGGCATTAAGGGTGTTCACGTTGTGCGACCATCGCCACCAGAGCTGTTTTCACCTTCCTCAGCTGGAATCTGTTCCCATTAAACACGATCTCCCCATTTCTCCTCCTCCCAGCCCCTGGGAACCTCTCTTCTACCTTTCATCTCTGTGAATTGACTACTCTAGGTACCTTATAAAAGTGGAATCGTACAATATTCGTCCTTTTGTGTCTGGCTTATTTGACTTAGCTCAATGTGCTCTTGTATTTTTTTAAGAAAAATTTCCTAGCCATGCATTTTTATTGTCTGGTACAAAACTATTGGTCCACAAGGGACTGGTCCTTCACCACATATGGTTTGCTAAGCATTGACCTAGGGATTGTGAGCAAAGACTCAGGATCTGATGCTACTCTGACCAGCTACCCTTGCTCTTGTCCCTGTTGCCTCCTTTCCCATCTCCTGCTCCTCCAGTAACCACACATGTTCCCATCTCACGTCCTTTGCACTTGCTGTTCCCGGGGAAGAATGCCCCCCAACAGATACCCATGTGCTTCACACCCTATGTAAAGGATGAACACAAATCTAAAAAGAAAAAAAAATGGAATTTCCCTGATGCAAAAAGAGAAAGAGATTTCCCCTTTCTTAAACCATTTCCTTAGAGAAACTTGTAAATCTTTTTTCTATCCTGTTGAGATGTATGCAAATCCTTTTGAAAGCTAAATAGGCCTCTTGTCAGTTTTGCAACTCAGGAATGTTTCTCTTCAGGAGCTCAGAGCCGTCTCCTTGAAATGTAAACATCCTGGAGAAAAGTACCTCCATCTCTGTGTCCTGGGGTTTTAACTGAGGTACCTGGCTCCAACTTGTAACTGCATTCTTTTTTTTTTCTCCTCTTGCACACCCCCAACCAAGGACCTGGCCCACAACCCAAGCATGTGCCCTGATGGGAATCGAACTGGTAACCTGTTGGTTCACAGGTTGGTGCTCATTCCATAGAGGAACCAGCCAGGGTGTAACTACATTCTTATCAAAAAGATATACAATGCTTTATCTTTCCTTTGGAGAAAGAGAATTAGCTAACCCAGATGGCTACCCCAATTACCAGCTATATTTTGAATGAACTGTGTGTGCTGTCAAGTCCTCCTGCCTGAAGACAAGTTATTACTTATAAGGGTGAGATTCCTTTCTGTGACTGTAATGTAAGTATTAATTTGGACCTACGTGGGACGTGGCCCATAGGTTGGGTTTGTCCTCAGGACTTAAAACGGTTAGAATTGTGAACATTAAAACATTTTGGTGGGCGCCTCATGAGAAGACTTTGATGTTAGAAAATAACCTCACCTCCAACTCTTTGCCTGACTGACTTCTTCCCTGATCCACCACTTTTAAATCTACATACACACCCCACCAGGACTTACCACTCTTCCTTGCCCCTAGTTAAGGAGTAGTGACATTTATACAGTCCTAAAATTACATTCGGCCCTTTGAAGGCAACCACCAGGCTGATGTGGTCCCCAGTGACAATGCGTTTGACACCCCTGCTGTGCAGGGCCAGGCCCCATACCATTGTGTCCTTAGAGATGGCTGTTGGGACAATGGACATGGAAATTGTGATGATTAGGAAGATGAAGGTGAGCCAGCACCCACTGACCTGCTATTTGTACCACGAGCTCTTTCTTCTGGAAGAGGAGGGGGTTCTGGATGGAGCAGGACACATTGCTGTGGGCTCCCTCTTGGACAATCACCGATGTTTCCAGACTGAACAGGCCTTGGGTGTCCTGGGTGATGGCTTCGGACTCAGGGGGCAGGCACTGTCCCCGATGGTCTCTCCACTGAGCCTGGGGCTTGGGGTACCAGCCACTGGAGCTGCAACGCATCTGAATGCCTCCTTTCTTGAAGCCCTCAAGGGAGATGTGAGGGTCTGACCCCATCCCTGGGAGAGAGGCAGAGAGAGTGGGAAAAATTAGGCTCCTTCCCAGAAGTTGGAGGCGAAACTCATCATTTGCACTCACCATAGAGAATCATGAACTATGACTCTCTTAACATACTTGTGGGTTCATAGCCCCCACCCGTGGCCTGTAAATGACAGTCTGAATCAGTGGTGGCATGTGGGGACAGTACTAACCCCGAGGAACATTTGGAAATATGGAGGGGGGCCATTTGACTCAAAAGGGCTACTGCCACTTAGTCATATTATGCAAGGGACAGTCACGGAGAATGAATAATAATTTCTCCCCAAAGTTCAACAGGCTGTTCTCTCCCTCTCCTGAATCCCACCAGAGCTCGAGTACAATGCTTGTGATATATGCACTTCTTTATTGCTCCATCCTCGAGGTACTGGCTCTATGCTTTAAATATGCAAAACATTAATATGGTTTAAATGCCAGTACTGTAAAAAATGTTTGTCAGGAAAGCCCCAGGCCTTTCTCATCCTTCCCATCCCATTGTACCCCCTCCCTTAGGTCACTATTTTCATGAGTTCCTAGTTTATCCTCCCCGTGTTTCCTTCGTGTTTCTCCTTCCTTCTTACACAGAAGTGTACAAACTACAGACCATCTTATGCATCTCACTTCTTTTTTCTTAGCAACAACCTAGAAATCACTCCACACCCCTTCATGGAGCTCCTCCTCCTGTTTTCAGCTGCATGGTATGGATTGCTCCGCATGTGATGAGCTGTACTTGGTCAGCACCCGTGCTTGCTCATTCAGGTTGTTTCTGCTGATTTGCAATGACAAATAATGCTACAAAGCTTAAACTTATACATATGCCTTTCCCACATTTAGCTAGGGGAGGTGTACCTTCAAGGTAAACTCCTAGAGGGGGTGTTGGTGTTCAAAAGGTAGGCACACAGACAATATTGTCATTGCAAATTCCCAGGCACTGGAGCATTTTAACTTCGAACTTGGTCAGCATGGTGCAGAGCAGGTGGGTTGCTTCCCCACAGCCTTGCCAAGAGTGTGGGGTCGAATTTTTAAATTTTTGCCAGTCTGAGAGGTAAATCATTGCATGTCCCTGTGGTTTTAATTTACTGGCTTTCCCCATTATGAGCAAAATTGATCATCTTTCCATGTTTAATGGCCATTTGTGTATCTTTTTTCGTGAACAACTCTTAAATTTTCCAATGGATCTTCCTTTTTAATTTTTTTTTTTTAAAGCATAGCTATTCTCCTGTTGTCTGGGCTTCCCTATCTTCCCTGGAGCAAAGCAGCTCTGTCCAAATGGATCCTTTCCTGTGCATCCCCCCACCCCACAGTCCCACTGGCGCTCCACCAGGCCACGCACCTGCTACCTCCAGTTCCCAAACAGCTTCCCCAGAGAAGTTGCTGGAGAAGAAGCGGCATCCATAGGGGCCCTTGTCGGCGGGGGTCACGCGGTGGAGCTCCAGGGTCACAGAGCCTTCCGCGATGTTGTCTTTGACCAGTTTGGTCCTGTTCCGGAACTGCTCCATCTGCTGCCCGAGGACCTCCTGTTGCTCCTGGTACAGGTACACCACCTCCGAGGCCTGGCTCCGGAACCAGCGGATCTCCATGTGCTCTGCGCTCTGGTAACAGGACAGGTGGCAGGGGAACTCCATCTCTTCCCCGACACGTTCCAGGACGGATGTCCCGGGGCCAATCACCTGGCACTCCTCTAGGACAAGAAACCAGAATAATGGCCAAAATCAGCTCTCCAATGAAGGTTTTTATCCTGTCCCTTTGCAGCTCAGAAATCTACAGCAAGCCCTTCAAATGAGGAAGGTGAGACACTTACAGGGCAGCCTGAGCCTGTTGGGTGTCTTGAACGAGTAATTGTCATGAGAGAAATGAGTTGGTAATTTCTGCATAATGGGAATAGATGTTTTCTTTGTCACTTTGTCTGATTTTCCTGTTTTTATAGTGTACATGTTCACAGCTTCCATAACAACAAACGGTTTTAAAATTATCCATGGGGCTCCTTGCTTTTTATTTATTTATTTATTTATTTTTAATTCTAATGGTTGAATCCTGCCTTGCAGATTTTGATTCACCAGGATCTGTCATTTGATCGTCCCCTTTGATGGTGTCCCGATCTGGTCCCTGCAGCCCCCAAGCTAGTCTGTTTTCTGCAATCTCCATGAAAGTTGCAGTTACTGCTGCAGCGCCTGGGTGCTCCGGGTCCTGCCTGTCAGCGTGTTGCACTGGTCACTCTGCCTTCTGTGTACCTCCTTTCCTGTTTTCGAAGCTGAGCTAAAAACTATGTGCCCCCCAAGCTTGACTAAAACCTCCCCCTGAGCTCTCCCTTCATGGATCCCTCCCACTCTCACTTTGCGGGGGAGCAGGGCAGTGCCTTTCTTTGCCCACTGCATCTGAGACCCCTTCTTGCCACTGGGTGAAGGCCCAACACCCTTCTGATCAGCTTCCCTCTGCAGCTTTTCTCCCCTTCACCTGATGCTTGGCCCTCTCCCTGGGCGTGTCCTGCCTCAGTTTACCCTCCATCTGTCATCTTTCTAGAGAATATGGATCCCGTAAAGCTCTGCTCAAACAGTTCCGGCTATCAAGGGCTCTTCTTGGCTTTCTGGAAAAAACCAAATAACCCTTATCTGTGCTCCCAAATCTTTGGGTACACTTCTCTCGCAGCCTGATCATATGCAGCTGAACAGGCGGATTTACGAGTATTTTCCAACTGGTTCAGCCTGAGCACAGACCAGTAAGAGTTTCTGGGCATCCTCTTGTTCCACTCCTGCCGTGCTTGAGACCTGCGGGGTCTCGGGGGTATATGGGAATGGTGGCTGAGATGGTGGAGGAGCACTGGCCAGGGGTACCACTGGGATGGAAATCTCTTTAAATACTAGCACCTGGCATGGCTACCCTGTGTTGGCCCTGAGAGCACTGGTGGGAGGTGTGGGCAGATGCTGATGTTCTTACTTCCTGGGTGGCTAGGCTGCAGATCAGATGCACTACCTGAGTTCAGCTCCCCAGGCTGGAGGAGGAGGAGGATGTGGAACAAGAGGCTGCTGGGCCGGGGTACCCGCCGAAAGGAGTCCAGGGAGACTGGGAAGCCTGCCATCTCTTCAGCAGCAAGGCCACCTGCAGAGGGAAACAGAGATGCTGGGGTGATGCAGGGGAGTGGGCACCAGGTGTGTCAGTACCTCAGTTATCTTTTCTCTGGTTCTTAGCAAGCCCAGTGCCTGGCTTCTTTTAAACTGCAACCGGATGTGAGAACTGCTTCTAATTTTACCAGGCAGCACTGCTCACCGCTTTACTGGATTCGCTCAGCCTCCGGGAGCTTCAGGGTCCCAGAGGAAGCAGCTTCTGAGGTTCACATTGTTTTAGAGCCAGAAATAGAGCCACACAGTGTACTGGGGCTCCGCTAGGATATAATGACTATCTACAAACAAAGGGAAATCTATAAAAATTCTCACATGCATTTTTATGCTCCCAGCCCAACCTTTCTCCCACTTCCCTTGGCTTGGAACGTCAGGTCCACAAAACAGAGGAACAAACACTAAGTTCTGATCTTTCAGGAATGGGACGCATGCCTGGCAGCTGCTGGCCAACTTTACCCACACCTGGGCCATCTTCCTCCAGTTCTGGAACCTCAGGTGTGGCCTCCAGGAGTTAGCTGGCAAGTGTCCCTGAGTCTATAGCATCTTTGAGGCCACAGTGACGGTGTGCTTGCATCTAGCTCCCCACAACCCCCGATCTGTGACCCAGGAAACCCAGCCCCAGTACAGGTGAGGGCTGTCCTCTCTTACTCCTGACACCCCCTTGGAACCTGCAGAGTGTCTCATAGTCTGATAGCCAGTGAGTGTGAGCAGCCAATACATCTTGGAAGATATACAATTCTCTCCCTATTTGTCCTTTGTTTGGGACTTTAGGCAGATTTTATAACTGGCTGAACCTCAATTTCTTTGCTTGAGCAATGGAAGAAAACAATGCCAACTCTGAGGGCCGCTAACACACCATGGGGCAGCTGGGTGCTCCAACTAAAAGTCAGCACCTTTTCCCTCTGCTCCATCAGTTTCCAAACAGCTGTTCCCCATTGTCTTCCAGAGCTGGCACCCCTCTGCCTTCATGCCATCATAGCACCCCCAGGGGAGAGGGGAGCCCCACCAAGTTTCTACTCTCCACGTCCTCAGCCTCCCTTGTTCCCCCTTTGGCCACTCTACACCACTGTTTGGTTTTCTTTGTCACACAGGCCTGTGACATGGCACGTGGTCCAGGGACCTGTGGCTGCAGGGCCCCTGCTGCATTGTCAGCAATGCTGCTGGCAGGGGTCGGGGTACCCAGGCTTTTGGCCTCTCTGCACCACGCCGGAAGAAGAAGAGTTATTTTGGGCCACACATTGAATACATTATGCCATGTAATCACACACACACACAAATCTCATAATGTTTTAAGTAAATTTATGATTTTTCTGTTGGGCCACATTCACAGCCATCCTGGGCTGCATGCAGCCTGCGGGCCACACATTGGACACCCCTGTTTAGATGAAGGACTTGAAAGCTGCTGGGTCGTTCAGCATAAAAGTGGCCAGAGCAGGAGTGTGGGTGACTTCATGGGAGGGGGGAGACTCCCCAGGTGACCCCTGAGCTGGAAGGACCTGGGCTGATGAAAATAGAATGGAGGTAGGGGCGATCATTGTGAGGGAGTGGGCCAGGGGCTAGGTGCCTTGCTCTCCTGGAGCTCACAGGCAGGTGGAAAGGTGGAGGGAGGCAAGGCGGACTGGCTTGATTTTTCCTTCAGTAGAGCATCTGTGGGGAAGGAGGCCAAGTCCCTTCTTGGGGGTCCTGGCTGTTTCAATGGCCGGCAGCTACTGGCACGACTATTCACACCAGCAGACTTAAGCCTTGCACAGGGGTCCAGGCTCTGGCCAGATGGTCCAGCCTCTCCCCTTTCTGGCTGCCGGTAGGAATGTGTATATGTCAGGCCTGGGAATCGGCAGCGAAGACCCCCAGAGCAGGGGGTGCACACTGGCTTCGCATTTTCTCTCCCTCTCTCCATTCCTTTCTCTTCTCTTTGGGCCTCAGTCTTTTCTTCTGGACTCTTGACCTAGGGCTCCAGGACGGCAAAGCCATGAAGGTCTGTCAGCACCTGCTAAGTCCTTCCAGAAATGAGGGGGGCCCAGGACACCTTACAGATCCACTGGGATTGGCCGGGTTCTGAGGAATTAGTCTAGACTTGCATTAGGTGTTAGCTTGAGTCCTTCTGTGGCAGCCCTGGCTCAATTGGCCCACACCTGGGCCCAAATATCCCCGGGCAGGGGAGGCTGCCACCCCACCTCCGCAGGTTGGGCCAGTGTGTTCCAGACCCTGAAATTACTGCAGGACCACAGTTGCCCGTTGTGATACACCTGTGTATGTGTGTGTATAAGAGTGGGGGGTGGGGAGAGAGAGAGAAACAATCGGTTGCCTCCTGTATGCACCTGCCCAGGGTTTGAACCTGCAATCTTTTGGTGTATGGGACAATGCTCCAACCAGTTGAGCAACCCAGCCAGCCACATGAACCATCCATGTGATTTCTGACGTGGAGGCTGCAGGAGTAGGAGGTTGTATACATACATACATATATACATACATACACACACACACAGAGAACAATAAAAATGAGCACAAATCAAGAACTTAGTATCTACCAATCACTTAACTACACCAGAAGTATTAGATTATTATTGCCAGAGGTCCAAATCACAGACAAGGAAACTGAGGCACAAGGAGGCTAGGTGACCTGCCCACACACAGCTAGGTGGTGGTAGAGTCGGGGTTCACCCCAAGCTCTGTACTTCCTAGAATACAAATTCCTGATCTGCTGTGCCATGTGTCCGGACTGGGCACACACCCTCAGTCTCCTGTCCCTTGGACCGTCATGACCCCCGTTAGAGACCGCCTGGCCACACACCACAGCACTTGGCCCGATAGCATCACTTGCACTGAAGAGGTTCGAGTCCCCAGGTGTCGGCCCCAAGACAAATCAAACAACCAACCAACAAATGAACAAAAGTGTAAAAACCCCACTCAAAACCCGAGTCTTTCTTCAAGCTTGTGAGCAGCATCTTCTAGAACAGAAGGCACATGACCTGTGATCACTTTACTCCCAACACACAAGGACATGCCTCGAAAGCTTTGAATCAGAGGGAGACAGTCCAGCAATTTCCTGAACTGACTTGGAGGAGCTGAAGGCCCCAAAGGCAACCTTCTCCCACCTGCTGCCCTTCCTCCGACCTCTGTGACCTCTGTGGTTTAAAGGCTCTGGTCCTTACTGGGGAGAGCAAGTCCCTGGTGAGGGGAAACACTGTCCATCTCAGCTACTCACACAATGGTGTCAATGGATTTCAGATCCTGGTTCTGGCCAGGAGGTTTTGCTGGGGGAAAGGGGAGAGGAAGATGGAGGAGCCAACGAAGGGGAGGATGACCGGAAAGGGAGTCTTGGGCTGGAGCTGAGCTTTGCTGGCGGGTATATTCTCCTTGCTCTCCAGAGAGTCTCCAGCAGGTCCCTCCTGAAGACCCCGGGAAGAATAGGGGTTGTGCACACTGGTGCTGAAGAAATGCTGCCATTCTGCACCCGGGGGAAGCCTGTTTCCCCCTCATTTCTCTCCTTCCATTGTCTCCCTGGCCCCACTCCCACCCCACTCCAGTTTTCTCCTCCTGCACCTCCAGCTCCTGAAAAACACCTGGTGCTCTCTTAATCGTCAGTCCCTCTGCTCCTGAGCATCTCTGCACGGGTTACTTCTGCTTTTGCTACTTCAGCGAGCTTGGGCCATGTAGCAGCGGTGTGCTTAGCCCCCTCCTGCTCCCAGTGTCCCACGCAGTGAGCCCCACGGTGGGGCTTCTCACTCTGGCACCTTTTCCTCCTTCAGTGCCACTCAGTGCGTGGCCCTCCACGGCTGGTGACGGATGCTTGCTGCTGGCTCTGGCTTGGTTTCAGCAGGCCCACAAGAGGGTTTCTGCCCCTATCTCTAAGGGAGATGAACCTCCCCAAGAATGGACCCTTGGTGAGGCGGAAGGAAAAATGGGACCCGTCAGACTCCTGCCCCTCAGGCAGGACTGCCTGACCCGGCATCTCCCGTGGCCACACTCCGAACACCCCACCCTGCAGCCAGGCCCCAATGGGAAGATGGGGTGACCCATCTGCACTGTCTCCAAAAGCCATCCCTTTCTGCTTTCCATTTCTGAAAGCTGGAGGTTTAGGCATTGAGAATGGGCCACATACCTGGCAGGTTGCAGCTAAGAGCCTGAAATGGCAGATGAGTCCTGCTGATCCCAGCTCCGTTGCAAAGGAGATGATTGTTGTAAAGAGTCTTGGTTGATCCCAGTTGGGGGACCAGCGGGTGTGACAGAATTTCCCACCCACCTTCCACCTTAAGATGCTGCTCGCTCTGCCCTCTGCTATAAAAACCGAGAAAGATAGACAAAAGGAGGAAGTCCCTGTCACATCCTGTCTCTGTGAGGCAAATCATGAATGAAACTTCCAAGGCAAATGTCCCTCTAAGGTCTTAAAAAGAGGGGAAAGGTATCTGGGAGTTTTGTGGAGACTGCAAACTGCAGATGCTCAGAGCGGCGGGCTGTGGGAAGGGAATGCTCAGCTGGCTGCCTGGGGTCTGGGGCTCCAGGGAGACAGGATGGCCACCCCTAGTTGGCCCCTCACTCCTCACCATCACTGCAAAAGATACAGCCTGGACTGAAATATCTCTAACTGAGAATTAGGAATGACCTGGTGCCCAACTCTTAACCAGCTCTCCACTCCTCTTCAGGGGCAGGGCATAGATAGCCTGCCCTGAAGAGGTGGTCACACACAACTTGGAAGTTAAGTGGGGCACTGTCCTGGGATCTCTCCAATTGAGTGGAGCTCACAAAAAAAAAAAGCAGCAGCCATCACCCCACTGCTCCCCGTTGTGCCATAGGCCACTGCACAACTTTGGTATTAGTGAGACAGAAGCACAGTATATCAACGGATCAGCCACCCTGCTGCACCTCACTCTGACATCCTCCATAGGGGACAGGTCAGAGCAGTGGCACATGGCAGTGGCATCTGTAGGATACACAACCCCAGAGATTGCAGAAGGGCCTGCTGTTTGGGGAGGGGCCTGGGCAGGTGCTGGGCTCTGGGTGAGCAGGTGCAGGAGGGGCCCTTCCTGTCCTGGTGGCTGGTGCACGCATCCTGGGCTTATGCATGCACAAAGATGACCTAGGACCACACAGGGGGATGAGTGGTGAGCTGGTGAGCTGAGTGGTGGGTGCCGGTCCCTGGGGCTGGGAGACACAGGAGAGCTTAGGGACAGATTGAACTTAAAAGAGCCACTGACTAAAGAGCAGGGTCAGGGAAATGATAAGAGTGCTGAGAAGGGAGAGCCCCTTTCAGCAGAGCGAGGGGGTTAGCATGTGTGGGGTAGGGAAAGACTAGGGGCTTGCTGGGAGAGTTTATGAAAATCACTAGTGGAAGGGGAGGCAGGCAAGAACAGATGGGACCAAACTGCAAAGATCTTTTCATGCCACACAGGTTGTTCTACGAGCAGCCAAGAGCTCTTTGGAAGTTTGAAGGACCTGGAGTAATTCAGGCTAAAGAAGAAAAGGGCAGCTGAATGGAGGGGCTACTTGGAAATAGGAATCCTGGTTTCTCATCACCCTTCCCCTGGGCTCCTCCATGTGGCCGGGCTGAGGTGAGGCTGTGGCAACAAGAATACAAAGGCAGCAGGCAGAATCCACTCCTGTGGCCCCAGGCACAGTCCTGCTAGGATGCGGGCGGACCCCACCTGCCAGCACCTGAACATCCAGGCACTGCCACTCCGAGGCCTCCAGAAATACCTCCACTCGGAGGCCACTCCGAGGCCTCCAGAAGCCCGTGTCCAGAAAGAATGGACTCCCTGGGGGCTCTAAGTGGGAAGGGAAGGACCTGCGCTTCTTCTTGCACAGTGGAACACCCACCCCATGACAGCCTCTTCCAGTGTCATCTCAGGTCAACTCCACCTCTCTGTGAAGACACCTCTTCCCCTCTTCAAGTTGCCTGATAGTTGGAACTTGTATAAATGTCTCACGGGGCACATTTGCAAGTGTCTTTATGGGACCGTATTTTTTTTTCATCTATAATTCTGGCTCCTGTAGTTCAGGGACCACGTCTCCTTGGCCCTTGGTGCATTCTCAAGGCACCAGGAGAGATTCTTTCTCACAAAGAGCGCCCGCCAGTCACAGGGTTGACACACAAAAGAGGAGGCTGTCATTAAGGGATGGTGTTTGGTTTGCCACCGTTCAGGGACAGAAGAACAGAGTCACTTGTTTCTCAACCTCTCCCCGCACCAGCCAAAGTGTGGGCACTGACCCTCCCTTGTTACGTTCCTCCTTCTGTTTTTCTCCAAGGAAGTCAGACCAACAGTTCTGAGCCTGTCAGCTGGCACAGTGCCCCCATCAGGCTTTTTGTCACACAGCTAGTGAAGGGCACACACACATTGAGTGAGAGGGAGAAGCCCACTGACTCCACCCTGAGCTGCAGACGCTCATCCCTAGCTGGGTCCCGAGGGGTCTAAGGGGCGGAAAGAGCCGTAGACACCCTTCCACTGCCCCAACAGCATGAACTCTCCAAGGTCAATGGGCATTTCCCACCTCGGAGGAATTCCTTTGTATTAAAGAATTAGGCAGCATCCTCTCTTAGTTTGCACAAGTGGCCGGGAAGGGAACCTGGGCTCCGTGCCTTATGCCATGTACAGAAGAAGGCGCCACCAGCGAAGTGCAGGCCCTGAGGGAACAGGGCACTCAAGAATCCTGTCCATTTGGAGGGGCAGTGGGCAGGCTTTGGAGGATGCATCTTGATGATACTTTTTCAAAGAGCCAGCCCAGACTCAGAGTTTGCGAGAGACCGAGTTATGTAAAGAGGCTGCAATGGAGAGAAATGATGAGGGAGTTCCTTAAAGATGATGCTTCACACCCGGGGATGTCAGCCCTTCCCCGGCTCCGGCTCCGGGAGGGCTGCTCGGTCTCAGCCACAATCTCTCCTGGCTCCTTTGTCAAACAAACAGCACCTGTTTGTTCTGTCAGAGGGAAACCATTTGAGAAAAAATTATTCAAAATTTCTAAATAAGGCCAGAAGTTGGGCAACCTGTTTTCAGCATTGTGCGGGGGCAGTGGCACCACTAAGGATCATGTACTGGTTACAGCGGACTTTCCGACCACTGTTCACTAGCACCTGAAGGTCCCAGGCTTCGTGCACTTGCATATCTAACTGCAGATTTTTGTCCAGTAGAGTTGCAAGTAATTTCTGTCTAGTGGAAAAAAATTAGTCCCAAATGTATTGCCCTGTGGGACAATCAACCTGCTCTGTAAATGCAGCAATCTTACCCAACATTTCTGTATTAAGCTGCCTCTAATGTCCAATTCCTCAAGTGCTTTCTGAGCCAGTCTTTACTGTATTACCAGTCCCTTCATAAATTAATGGGTTGAATAAAATCTTTGACACATGTTTATTTTATATTTACACTAAAATATTTTATATGTGAGTGCAAATATATATATGAGTATACTCATATAAAATATACTCTATTGTGATTTTGAAAAAAATTCTATTTTGACAAATTGTTAGCCTAGAAACAGCCTTTCTGGAAAGGGCCCTGACTCTGGCCCTCAGGGGACTTGACACCCATCAGGCTGTGCCCCCCCCCCCCCCCACACACAGCCACCTCACTGGGCCCTTGCTACTGCCTTGGACCCAGCCCATCCCAGGTGGAGCAAAAATAGAATAGGGTCACTGAGGAAATGTTGCCAGAGAAATTGGGCTTTGGACACAATAATTTTTTTTTAAATGGGCTGATTGTTTCTCCCTAAGGACCTTCTTCTTTTTCTAGGGATCCTTTGTAGGAGATCCTTCTGTCTTCTTCTTTGTTCTTTCAGGATTAGCTCTCTATGCATCTAAGTGAGTTTGACAGTGTCACTATAAAGACTTTAAGAAGAGCATTCATAACCCGAGTTAGTTACTTTAATCAACTCTGCACTTGGATTGCTGGGCCTGGGACCCAGTAAGTGTGCAAATCCTCAGCTAGAGTTGAGCAGTTATTTTCCCTTCACAAGGTCCACGAGAGCAAATGGTAGCCCCTTCCCAAGTTTGAGAAAAGTGTCAAGCCATTTTGAGTAACTGCCTCAGGAAAAAGCAAAAGGGGAACAAGCAGAGTTAACCTTCTCTGGGGAGGACTAAAATGTTTGTCCACCATTGGGTTGGGGGAGGGGTATTGGGAGGCTGGGAAATGGCAGTGGATGTGGGTGGCCAGCCAGGACCCTTTCCTCTGCTCCTTGGACTGCAGTCCTCAGCCACAGCAGGGACAACACACCTCCTCTACAGCAGACCCCATTAGGGAAAATGGAGGTGGGAGGAAGAGACTAGAAGGAGAGAGCTCCTTTCAGAATGTAGGAAGCAAGGAGACCAAGCCCTTCACTGAACAACCCTGAGTCCACAAGCCTGACAGGGAGACAGAGCTTCCAGGTGACCACACACCTGAGGAGGTGCATGTCCTATGCTTGGGCGCAGTTCTAAGAACCTGCTCCAGGGAGCGGTGGCAAGGCCTAGTCAGGGGCACAGTGTGTCTGCTCAGACTTGGCCCTGAAGCCTTCAAGGTCACTCCACTCTCTCCGTTCCTGTTGCCTGCTGCCCTGTTCCTGTCTTCTCTGACTTGGTTTCTGATATGCGCAAATTCATTGTTATGAAAAATGCCACAGTGGATGTGTTCTGTGTATTTATTTCCTTAGAACAGATGGGTATTTCTGGATAACAGGGAATATATGCAGGTAAGGTTTTGATAACTACCCTCCTACAATGCTGTGCCTACTTGCACTTGTAGAGGCAGGGTTTCATGTGTCCATCTCTGTAAAAACTTTTATTTTATTTTTTAAAAGATTTTACTTATTATATTTATTTATTTTTAGAGAGAGAGGAAGAGAGGAAGAAAAAAAGGGAGAGAAACATCAGTGTGTGGTTGCCTCTTTCAGGTCCCCTACTGGTGACCTGGCCCGTAACTCAGGCATGCGCCCTGACTGGGAATTGAACCAGGGACCCTTTGGTTTGCAGGCCGGCACTCAATCTACTGAGCCACACCAGCCAGGGCTGTAAAAATTTTTAATAAATACTGATGTGATGTCTTAATTTATTTTAGTGTGCCTTTTCCTATCCCTAGTAAAGTTGAGAATCTTACCACGTTCATAGTCTAGTTATATTTCAGGTCTGTGAGTTGTCTGCTCTATCTCATGCTTGTAATTATATTGGATTGTTTACTTTTTCTTATCATATTGTAGTCATTCTTTAGATATTTTGGATATTGATTGGAATTATTCCCTGTATTGTCTTTAATAATTGAGGTAGATATTTTACCCATTGTTTGTGT